GATCAGGTAAGACTCAACTGGCCCTGGCAATTCTGGCCCAACACAAAAGCCCACCACCATCAAGTCTATTCTGACTCACAGAGGCCCGGTGGAGGGTTCAGATCTTTACAGTCACCCCACGGATGGACAAAAGGACAACCTGATCTGTCTCAGCAGCACAGCCAGAATACTTCCTATAGACCTGGATGGTGAGCCGTCATCTCACGTACTTTGGACATGTTAGCTTCCGGGAGAAGGACATCGTGCGTGGCGGAGTAGAAGGGCAGTGAATAAAGGGGAAGGCTCTGTACAAGATGGACTGTGGCCCTGGCCACAGTGACTCCAACAATGGGCTCAAACCTAAGAAGAATGGCGAGGCACGGCGCGGGACCAGGCGGTGCGCCCTTCTGTTGTACACGGGGCGGCTATGAGTCGGAACCGACTTGACGGCACCTACCAGCCACCACCACGACATTCTTTATGGGGCAGAACACTTCCATTTTCTACCACCGAGCAGCTAGTGGGTTTGAATTGCCGACCCTGTCGTTAGCAACGCAAGTCACCCAACAGTGCCACCAAGGACCAAACCCAGTCTCCCGAAATGAAAGCTACCTTTCTTAGGTTCCTGTGGAGTCCTCTCCTGGGGCCCTGGAGCTCATCAAGTGGCTTGCTAAGGACTTTCCCAGAGCACCAGGTTTCCTCGGACATCTCTTGGGAGGGGCTGATCTCAAACTCCAAATGCACTCCATCGAGTCTAGGCCGCTCCCTTAACAAGCATTAAATAGATGGAAAAGAAGAAGAAGAGAGACATCTGTCAAGCCATTCACCCCATTGCTCCCAAATATTTTATTCTTGTCTTTTATTTCCAGCAAATAACATCCACCGGGGTAAATATTGCTTCTGCTCCATCACTTCCATTGACATCACCTTCTATTCAGTGTGTCCGGCAGCTTTTTGTTACAAATCCACTACTTTTAGAGAGACTTGATGAGCTTGTCCTCAGATCCGCACAACTTTTCAGATAGTCAACAGCGTGGGAAGCTGCTGCCGCCTTTGCTGGCTGTGTTTTTACAGAGGACGTTGAGCGAGAAGCAGGGAAGCAGCGTGGTTCTTCCTCCTCCAAGGCCTTCCTCCCTGTCCTGGGTACGCCGGCTGCTACAGACGACCCTCCTCCAGCTCTGCGCTCTTGGAACCAGCATTTGTTGTCCTGAGAATGCTCACCCCAACCCCCTACGCCCCATCTGTTTGATCTGAGCCACATGCTTATGATAAATACGTGATCTGGTGAAGAGCTTATCTTGTCTCTGACAAGGATACATGGATTTAGATGTACGAGCTTAGACCACCCACAGGGTAGGCTTTAGGGATAGAGCTCAGAAGGAGAAGGAAGATCCCACACCTTGGTATCAAAAAAGGAAAGGCCTGTTAGGAGCAAAATTATAAATGTGGAAAGCCTATGGGGGCGAGTTGACTCAAAGCATGAGCGAAGAAGAACTTGAGATTTAAATACCAGTAGCTGGAGCTTAATCCAAGAAAAGCAGAGGGAGATGCACTCAGATATCAGCAGTGCTTAGTAGTTAGGTGCCACGCAACACTGAGCCTGGCTCGTGCAGTCTCAGGGAGAGAGAGCTGAGTCTTGCTTCTGACTGACCCTGTTCAGTGCTTCCACCTTCTGTGAGGTTAGGCAGTGCATATCCCATGTGCATCTTGAGGGAATGAGACATAGATGGAGCCCTGGAATGGAGTGTGACCACGGCTGTTTGCCAAGCTGAGTATTTGTAGCTACGGGACTTATCATTTGTGGAAAAGCATCTATGGAAAAAGCCCACGGAGATAAGGGAGCTAAGCTGGGACATCATGTACTTTGATTCCACTAACAGTGGATATAAGAAATTGCCCTACTTAGAAAAATGTGTTTAAAGCTATGAGGGGGGAACATTATTCATTATCTTTGAACAAGGCGATCCTCGACAAATTCCCTTTAAAACAAGCACTGGGAATAGGTCTGTTTCTCCTAATGAATTATTTCCTAATCTCTCTCTCTCTCTCTCTCTCTCTCTCTCTCACACACACACACACACACACACACACACACACACACACACTCTCGATAACCAGTTATTTTCTCTTTTCTAGGTTAGGTGTAGTTTAGAAATAAATGACCCTTTTAATTGTTACCATTCTTTTCAACCACACTATATCGCTATAGTTTCTTCTCTTTGTGCTTGTACTTTTTGGCTCACTTTGGCTCTTTAAATTGTTTTTGCCACGGCGAGTTCTTTCTGAAGGAAGTGGGTGGCATATAAAAAAGGTGCAATTAATTCGGAGATTAAAAATGTGCCTCCTGAGACATGTGCTTCCAAAGGCACTGCCTCTCCCTGGCAGAAGGTCGGGTTCTCCCCTCTATTGTTTATTTACTCCAACTAAGAAACAGCAAGACAGCAAAAGTCAGCAGATCAAGGGCGGAAAGTTTGCCTGGAAAATTCCCAGGAATAAATGTTTGCCAAAATCCTGCCCTCTGAAGCCGCTGTGTCCCACAGAGAGTTAGGATTTCCATGTGCAAAAGCTCTTTCTTTCTCTTGGATAAACATAGTTGGAGGCTGGTGGTAGCCAGTTCTCTCTTCAACATTCAAGCCCTATTGAAATGACAAATGTGCCCCAGGTGATGTCTTTACCCCTGTGGATGGAAATGAGTGTGTGCATACAGTGGGAGGCTGGCAGGCGGAGGGGGCCAAGAGAAAAATGAATAAGCATAAGGGAACCTGGAGCAATTCCCTCACTCTGGGGGCTAACCACATTTGCAGAATTCCGGGACAGCCTTTCAGCTGTTGGCATTTGCGTTAAATTGTCTTCGGTTATTAAGAAGTTTTCATAATTAGTCATGAGTTGGGAGATTGTCCCTTAGGAAGAAATATAGGGCAGCAGTTCTCAACCTGTGGGTTGCAACCCCTTTGGGGGGTCAAACGACCCTCTCACAGGGGTCACCCGATTCATAACAGTAGCAAAATTATAGTTCTGAAGTAGCAACGAAAATAATTTTATGGTTGGGGGTGGGTCACCACAACATGAGGAACTGTATTAAAAGGTTGTGGCATTAGGAAGGTTGAGAATCACTGATATAGGGGGTTCTGAGTGGTGCAAAAAAGTAACGTGCCTTTGGCAGCTCATGCCCTCCCAGAGATGCCTCAGAAGGGCTGACAATCTGCTTCTGAAAAAAAAAAAAAAAAAAGCCAATGACTAGCCTGTGGAGCACAGTTGCACTGTGATGTACACAGAGGGCCCCAGGGGTTGGGATCCACTTTAATGGCAACTGGTGTTAGAATCTAAGGGTTGAGTCCCTTCAAACGAGCAGTTATCGACTTTCCTTCAGCAAAACTTTGATCAATTGTTAAAAAGCAGACATCATTTTGAGGACTATGGTGCACCTGATTTGAGTCATGATGTTCTCAATTGCCGTGTCTGTCTGTGAGATAGGTCAAATAGCTGCGCAGGGAACAAGGAAGACCGGAGGAGGATAGATGCATTTGAACTGTGGTGTTGGAGAAGAACAGTCATTATCCATGAACTTCAGGAGGAACACACAGATGTCTTCCATCAGGATGCGCCCTAGAAGCTAGGATGGTGAGGCTTTGCCTCACTCAATGTTAGACGTGTTATCAGGAGGGACCAGTTCCTAGAGGAGATAGCATGCTTGGGAGTAGAAGGTCAAGGAAAATAGGAAGGCGTTCAATGAGATGGAGTGACACAGTGCCTTCCACAATGGGCTCAAACACAGGCGCAGGGCTGGGCAGTGTTTCCTTCTGTTGGCAGTGTTTCCTTCTGTTGTACAAAGGGCTGCTAAGAGACAGAAATTACTTTAAGATCCCTAACAACATGTCTTGAGGAGCAAAAATCTGGTGCCTCTTCATTCTCCTCATGCATTTTAAAAGACACTACTGTACCTAGTAGATAGTAATAACAAGTGTGTTATTCACTTGGGACATTGGGAGCACTGGCGTGGCAATTAGGCACCTGAGTCCTAACCTGCTCTACCATGATCTGGTGTAATGAAACGGGATGTCTGCTACCGGGCCCCACCCATCTCCATCTCCTCCTGCTGCCCCAGGAGGCTGGTCTTTCAGACTCCGTTACCCAGCTGCCCGGCTTCTCACTGCTCTTGATCTGGAAATGAGAGGTTCAAAATGAAGAGAGAGATCTGGTAACCTTCACTGTCTAGCAGAATCAACCTCAGCAGTACATCCCTTGTGGGTGGCTCTTGCTCAGACAATCCAGCCTTTGTCTGCCTCTTAACCCTGACACCTTTGTAAGTAGAAAGCTGTTTTGTGGTGGTTCCTAGATGCTGTGGAGTCAGTGTGTGCAGAGTAGCAATGCCCCACCCAGCATTTCAAAGCTGTGTCTTTTCTGAAGCTGTCTGGCAGGCCTGTCTCCCGAGGCACTACGGGATATGTTGGAAATGCCAACCTTTGGCTAATAGTTGATTGTGTGCACTGCGTATTCTGAACCGTTTGCTGTAGATTCTGTTGTCAGCCAGGTTTCTGACTGATACAAAGTATCAGAACGGTAAGAGCTGCGGTAGGGTGGAATTCTCAACCATAGGGATCACATGGGCTATGCCCTAGATTCCTAGTAGATTACTGATGGGGGTAGAGGCCGTGGGGATCAACTGTCTCTAATGTGCCTGGGTATATATACAAGCGACTACTTTATGAAGAGTGGGGAGACCAAGGACCCTCTAAGTTAAGGTGACCAGACATCCCGCTTTTGGCGGGACAGTCCGACAGTCCCGATTCCCGTGGCGTTTTAAAAACGTCCCGATTTTTGGAAAGAATGCATGACAAGCTAGGGTATACGGTTTTCGGCTGCCATGTGGCTATTTTGCCAGGATATGAGTTTTATCAATGGTGTCCCGCTTTACCGATGTTAAAATCTGGTCACCTTACCTAAGTGGGCCCTCCCACTGCTTCCAAGGCTTACACGGATGGTTAGTACCTGGGAATTTCAAAAAAAGCTTTGCTCACAACTCAAACAAATGTGTTTTTTAATATAATGGAGTTTTTGTTGTTGTTAAAAAAAGAAAAACACAAATTTCACAAGAGGGTTGGGTGAGGTCAGAGTCCAGGCTTCATTTTGTTGGCAGAACAGGCTGGGGGTGATGACGGACAGGGTGAGAGGAGGAGGCCAGACCGCTTTCAGATGACCATATTTATATATGTATATATATTATATCCAAGTCTAACGGTCATTTGTACCATTTCCCAGGGAGATGCTGATGTTTCCACGGCAGGGCAAGGGCAAAGGGGTGGGGTCCGGGCTGGGCCGGCTAAAGTGCAGGCTGGCTGGGGGCTCGGCCGGCGGGGCCTCACAGCAGCTGCAGGAGCTTCAGGGTCTGCAGCAGGGCTCCGGGCTCCGCAGACGCCAGGTACTGGCAGCAGAGCCAGTCTTCCAGCTCCACCCCGCGCCTGCGGTCCACGGCCTTCTCGGCGAACTTGATCATCATCAGAGCCCGCTTCATGTCGATCCAGTTCTGCAGCGTGCCGCACAGCGCCTCCTCCGGGGAGCCCGGCTGCTCCATCAGCTCGCGCCGCGGCCCCCACAGCAGGCACTGCAGCACCCGCTTGGCCTCGCCGATGCGGATGCGCTTGATGGGGTCGGCCTCGAGCAGCAGGTGGGCGAGCTGCTGCAGGCCGGGTGAGTAGAGGGACAAGCTGGGCAGCGGGGGCAGGTCTTCCTGCCGGTAGTCCTGCTCCCGCAGCTGGGCGCGCACCTCGAAGGGGTTGGGCTGGTGGAGCAGCTCATAGATGAGGATGCCGGCCTGGAACTCGTCGAACTTGCGGTACTGGGAGGCAGACACTATCTCGGGCGCCAGGCGCGCGTGGCTTTTCTTCTGCTGCGGGTTGGTGCCGCCGGGCTTCTGCTTGGCCTTCAGGAAGTTGCTGATGATGAGCCGGGGCAAGTGCTTCTCGCCTGGCATTCCCCGACAGGTGGGAGGTGCGGTGGTGGGCTGGCTGGGGACGGCTGGCTGGGAGGCCTGGGGCGGGCAGTGCACCAGCAGGAGGTTCTCCAGGCACAGGTCCCGGTGGATGACCCCGTGCTCCTTCAGGCGCTCCAGCCCGTCGCAGAGCTGCAGGAGCAGGAAGCAAACCCTGCGCTCGTACAGCTCCGGCTCGGCGCGATGGCCGGCGGCCGAGGCCCGCACGAAGTCAGCGGCTGTCTGGTGGGGCACCTCCCGAGTGATGACTACCACGCAGTCCTGCTCCTGGGCAGGGGGGTGTGAGGGCAGGGCCGGCAGTGGGTCCTTGGGCGCGTCAGGCGACGTGAGCATGCTGGAGGGCACAGAGGCCACAAAGTGGCCGCAGTCCTGCTGGATGTTGAAGTGCACAGGTACGGAGGGGCTGCAGTAGGAGGCTGCTTTGGGCTCAGGAGTTTTGCAAATCTGCGAGGAAAAGGAGAAGAGAGGTCAAAAGTAGGGTCCACTGATCTGGTCCACAAGCAGTGCGGAGACAACTCCATGTCCTTTAATATAATCCCTTACCTCACAGTGGGTCATAGAGACCAAAATGGGCGTGCTAACACAGTAACGATGTTAAGAGAAAACATAAAAGAACCTTTGAGACAAAGTTTTGTGAGAAATGACACTCAAAGAAATGAGAAAGTGGACCTCCGACCAAGTCAAGTCTCTCTCCATGCTTCAGAAAAGCACAGCTAAGAAAGTGAAAGAAGTGAGACACCAGGAAAGAATGTTTGCCAACCACATGCCCACACTTACTGCCATCGAGATGATTCCAACTCATGGCCACCCTGCAGGGCACGGTAGAACTACCCTGTGGGTTTCTGAGACAGTAACTCTTTACCAGGGTAGAAAGCTTCATCTTTCTCCCACAGAGAGGCTACTGGTTCCAAACTGCTGATCTTGTGAATCATAGCCCAGTGTGTAACCACTACACCACCAGGGCCAAACACATACCTGATTAAAAGAACACCCACCCACCCCCACCAACAACAAAAAACTAGCACCTTTATAAAGAACTCTTACAGTCAAAAAGATGGTCAACAACTTAATTCTAAAATATGCAAAAGGTATGAATGGAATCATGACAAAGTGATTCAGCATCATTCTTCTTTCAGCTACCAAGCTGATTCTGGCTCCAGAGTAGAATTGTAATAGCCTCAGTAAAGCCATTTTATAGTAAGCAAACATTCTGCCCCCAGACCATAAGTGCAACCTCAGCCAGGCCTTGCAACAGACTCTCCTGTACAAGGAGGTTGTGCTTATCCACCTAACTGTTGCAAGATCTGCTTCTGTACCAGTTGCTTGCACAGTTCAATTGTTTAATAAAACCCTATAAAAAAAACAAGTCTGGAAGGGTTTGGGGCCAGTCACTCTCTTAGACTCAGGTGGCTGTTCCCTGCGCAGGTTCTTTTTTTCTCCTTTCTGTCCCCCTTAATAAACTGTTTTCCTTCTTACCAGAGACTGAGTTGTTCTTGTCCGGTTCATGTACAACATTTTGGAGGCTCCACCAAGATGTGGTGTCCAGGTTGTACATTAGCGGGACAAGCGAGACCCCAGGAATGGGTGTTCTCCTCAGCCTGTGCCGCAACTAGGGAAAAGCCTTGGAGAGACGTTCCTCCGCCCCGGTTGCTGGGCCTGGTCCTGAGCGCTATAGAAATTGGTGTGTACATCCTGAATTGGGAGAGTAGGTTCGGATGGACGCAACATTCGGACGCTCCCAGAGGGCCAGGGAGACGTTCCTGTGTTCTCCTGTTCCTGTAAGTTAAATGCCCTGGTGGTATTATTTTGTTATTTGTCTTGTATGTCTAGGGTGGTTGTTCCTTGTTTATCGGTGTTTTTGTCCTTATGTGGCTTGCTCTTGCTCCCGCTCGTTACTCGTTATTATTTAATTTCCAGCTGCCGGAGTAAAGATCATGGAACAACAGCAGTTGTCTCCACTCCAGTGCCTTTTAAATAACTTCTCTGATTTTTCTAAAAGGTCTATGTCAAATCATGGGTTTAAAACTAAGGCATTCTGCCTTAGGTCCTTTTGTGAGACAGATTGGGTTGCGGGAGTACCTGGCTGGCCTTCAGAGGGCACCTTTTCCCTGCCCATCCTGTATCAAGTACGAAGGTTTATCTATGGAAAACCAGGTCACCCGGACAAAATGCCATACATCTATGTATGGGTTTATATAACCTCTGACCCTCCTCCACATATTCGAAAGTTTCTTCCCCGGGAGTGGGGGGCGCGGACGATATATGTAAACTCCAAGGGTGAGCAAAATAAGCCTCTAGGCCAGATGAGGCTTCAGTGGGCATTTTCCCATTGAGACAAACTTCCACCCCTGGGGGCAGATCAAGCAATCCCCTTTATGGTTTATGTTCCTTTTTCTACTAGTGATCTTTACAATTGAAAGCAACAAAACCCATCTTTTTCTGATAAGCCCCAGGGTTTAATCCCTCTGCTGGAAACTGTTTTCCATACCCATAAGATTCTATTCAGGGCAGACAGCCAGCCAGTGGTTGCCCCACGTTTGCAAGAAGCCTTGTTTCCAACCCGGTGCCCGCCATGGGACCCCAATGACACGCAGGGCAGGGAAGCCCTGACCAGGTACCGCCAATGTTGCAGGGCCTCCAGGGGGCTGCTAGAAAGCCCATCAGTTTGTCTAAGGTAAGCAAGACAGTGCAGAGAGATACGGGTGAGTCAACAGCCGCTTTCCTTGAACGCCTAATGGAGGCTTATAGGCTGTACACCCCAATCAACCCTGAGGCCCCTAAGAATTGCTGGGCCATTAATATAGCATTTGTAGCACAATCAGCCCCAGCTATCCGCAAAAAGCTGCAAAAGCTTGAGAGGTTTGAGAGTAAAAATCTTAGTAAGTTAATGAATAAAATAGCCCAGAAAGTTTATAATAACAGGGAGGATCTACCTATAACCTCTACAAGGCAGATGGCAAAAATCATGGTGGCTGCCCTGCGGGAAGAAAAAGCAACCCAAAGCCTGCTACAACACTTGGTCCACCTTGGGTATCGGGTGTCTGAAAAAAAAAAAAAAAAAAAGGCCCAAGTATGTGTCACAACAGCCACCTATTTGGGCAATCAACTCCAGGTGGGGCAAAGAAAGTTATCTACCAGCAGGGTCAATGCGGTCTTGCAGATACCTTTCCCAGAGACAAAGCGCAAAGTACGTGAGTTCCTGGGCACAGTGGGGTACTGCCATCTGTAAATAATTGGCTTTGCAAAAATCGCCAAGCCATTGTATGAAAGCACAAAAGGAGAGGGGCAGGAAGTCCTGAAAACTGAGCGAGAAGCTGCCTTTAAAAAAACACCTAAAAGGGGCCCTTCTGTCGACCCCAGCCCTACCTCTTCTGGATCTGCAAAAACCATTTGAACTGTTTGTCGCAGAAGGTAAAGGGGTCGCCGAGGGGGTCCTTGTACAGCACCTGGGACCGTGGAGAAGACCCGTGGCCTACATTTCAAAAAAAGCTAGAACTGGTAGCAGCCGGCTGGCCAGGATGTATGCGGGCCATAGCAGCTACTGCTGCAGTATTGGTAAAAGAAGCATCAAAGCTCACGCTGGGCCAGGACATTACTGTCACAGGAGGACACTCAGTGGAAAGCCTGCTAAGAAGCTCACCTGACCGCTGGATAAGAAATGCCCGTGTGCTCCAATACCAGGTACTATTGCTAAACCCACCCAGTGTCCAGTTTTCTAAAACAGCCACTCTCAACACTGTTGCCCAACAAGCTGGCCAAGGAGCCAATCCATAACTGCATGGAAACCCAAGGAAACTCAAAAGTAATTAAAGAAAACCACCTGGCTAACCAAGCAGCCAAGGAAGCAGCCGTGGGTGCTCTAAACCTGGGAGTGACAGCAGCCCTAATCGAAGGTAAGAAGCCGCCTACTCTGCTCCAACCTAACCTACCTGTTCACCCTGTCTATTCTGAGTCTGAACTTCAGTTAGCCCAACAGCTGGCCAGTGTCAAAGACCCGGATGGATGGCGAATCCTGCCCGACTACCACAGACTAGTTCCAGAGGCAGTAGGGCGAGAACTAGTGGACCATTTTCATAAAACCACTCATTTGGGAGGAACCAAGTTGTAGCAATATTTATCTACACGGTACAAAATTCCAAACCTCCAGAAGTGGACTCAAGCAGCTGCTGAATAATGCATCACTTGCGCCCACGTAAATGCCCCCCACCGGGTTCATCAACCACCTCAGCATCGAGAGCAAGGTCACTCCCCGGGCCAATACTGGGCAGTGGACTAGTCTTTGTTGACACCTCTTCAGGATGGACAGAAGCGTCCGACCAAGGCAGAGACAGCCATCGTGGTATGCAAACTGCTGATAACTGAGATCCTCCCCAGGTTTGGCATTCCCTTACAAATTGGCTCTGATAATGGCCTGGCCTTTGTAGCCCAAATTTCTAAAACTATTAGCAAAGAGTTATGCATTAATTGGAAACTTCACTGTGCCTACCGGCCTCAAAGCTCAGGGCAGGTAGGAAGAATGAATAAAACCCTAATAAGAGCTTTAACTAAATTATGCACAGAAATTGGCGAGAACTGGGTCAGACTTCTGCCTTTTGCCCTATTACGCGTATACTCCTTACCTTAAAAACATTGTGCCTTATAAAATTATGTATGGTATACCCCCTCCCTACTTACCTAGGGTGAGAATGGAGCAGTTGGCTCACCTCACTAATATTAAACTTTTAAAGTCTATACAGGCTGTACAGGAAATCCACAGCACTAACAACGCTTTGTTACGCCACCTCCACCATCCAGACACCACAGGGACACGCCACCAAGGGGCTACAGCCTGCTGAGGACTCCGCACCCAGGAAAAGCACCCGGGGCGGTGGCACCCGGCCGCCCCAGTGAGCTTCAGATGAGCCACAGTCATTGGCTTGGGTCTCACAGCTGCTGCCTGGAAATGACCTGGTGCTTGGAAAAGGAGGGGGCAAAAGTACAGCAGCCCAGTGGCAAGAGTGAATAGCTGGCTGCAGCAGCAGAGAGAGAACAAGAATGGGAAGGCTGAACAGAAAGGCCCTCTGAAGCAGGGCGGCCTGAGGAGGAGCTAGAAAAAATAAAGGCCTAGCATGAAAGGATTGGAGCTAAGCATCAGGAGCGTGGTTTGCTTACTCACCTCTAACCATGCTGGACTGTGTGTATTTATATTCAGGGGAAGCTGGGTGGCAGCATTTTAATACTTACTCCAGGGTTAAAATAGGACCCATCCTAGTGCCCCTGCTCGTGGGGTCGGGCATTGCTGGGTCCGCCTCAACTATAAAATACTTAGCCATCAAATTGATAATAATTTGCAAGACTTAGAAAACTCAGCTGAAGTAGTACTGCAAAATAGGCGGGGTCTTGACCTCTTACTCCTCAAGCAAAGGGGTTTATGTATGGCCCTAGGAGAAACCTGTTGCTTTTAT